TGGCCTGCTGTGTTCATCCAGCTCTACACCTTGTTATCTTAGAGAAACCTGCTAGTGGTGGAAGGATCGACTACCAGAAGGCATAGATTTAAGGGGATTGGCATAAAAAAAACACAAGGAACAATATATTTTAAAATGATTTTAACAATTGCTGATGACTAGAAAGTAACAACTCTGGTTTGAAAATAACATCTACACAAACTTTAATACCTCTGTGATTAACTTATGCTGAAATGGGATCTGGTATTAAAGTTTGTATATAATTGTCTCAAAGTGTTTACAGTGTGACTGTGGTTTTACTGTTTGTTTTTGTTTTGGGATACTTTTAATATCATGTTTGTTAAGTATTCATTAAGTTTGTTGATGTCTATTTGTCGTTGATATGTGTGGTATGTGTTCTCCATTGTGTATTTTTGTTTATTATAGTGCAACAATGAGTCATTTGCATCCAGGTTACTAAACTGCAGTTACATTAAATTGTAAAGCAAAGCATTAGGCTGTGTTCTTTATATTTGACAGAAGCAAGGCTTACACATATCATGTTTTATCATGTGTTAGGAACAAATATTTTCTGTGCAAAACATTCCTTTGAAATACCCGATTATTAAACAGTAAAGCAGCAAGATCCCACATTGAGTAAAGGAGCTGAGTCATGTAGTTACTTTATTTGTGGCAGGGATAGTGACTAGACACTGGGAAGTGACTGTTTCCTTTGAATATCTATATCTGGCGGAAGAGACGGCTGAAGAGTGGTTGGAGGCTCAGTTTAATATCTTATTCAAAGAAACCCACAAGAGTGTGCCACTCCTTCAACGATGCACTGAAGTTCAGCCTAGACTCTGTACTCAAATGGTCTGGAGTGGGCTTAAGCCCACAAATTTCTCACTGAATTGCAAATGTGCTACCGAATGAAACATTTAAGTGGTTAACATTCATGGTCTGTTACATGGTATGCTTGTGGTTTCCTTTATAAATTTCTGCTTGTTTTGCCCAGATTATGAGTGACTGTTTGCTTTTTTGGTAATCAACCTAATACATTGTTTTGTGATGTAGCGCATGTTTATAGACATTGCTTTTCTGCATGGTAAAGGAAAATTTGGTAACATTATGAATTTTGCTGCTATTTGCGTCTTGCTCATCATCCCTATTGTAACCGAATAAACTGTACTTGAGGGACATACCTGCACTGGGACAGTTTCAGAGATGGTTCACTAGACTGATTAACACAATGAACAGTTTGTCTTATGAGGAAAGATTGAGTAGGTAGTGCCTATACTCATCGGAGTTCAGAAGAATGAGAGGTGATCTTGTTGAAATGTATGATCCTAAGAGGGTCAGATATGATAGCTGCTGAGAGGATGCTTCCCTTTCTGAAGGAATCTAGAACTAGGGAACATTGTTTCAAAATAGGGGATCACCTACTTAAAGCAGGCAGGAACCAGGATTTAATAAATGTGGAGCTGGGAAAACACAGCAAGTCAGACAGTGTCTGAGGAGCAGGGAAGTCAATGTTTTGGGCCGAAACCCTTCGTCAGGACCCAAGATGTTAACTTCCCTGCTCCTCGGATACTGCCTAACGTTCTGTGCTTTTTCAGCTCCACGTTTATTGACTCTAGCTTCCAGCATCTGCAGTCCTTACTGTCTCCAGGAAGAGGGATTTCTTCTCTTCAAGGGACATTAGTATTTAAATTCTCTTTCCAGTAGATCAGTCAAGATTTATTGATTGGCAGAGCAAGCCTGTGGTTCTGTAAAACCTACTCCTCTTTTATCAATGCTTGATCTGAAATGAATACAATTTTAAAAAAAAGCAGGAGTTACTGAAGGAAACAATGAGAGGTAGAAATGGATGAGCAGTACTACATAGAAGGCAAATAAGGCAGAAGGCTTCAGAATTTTTTAAAGGCAGTCATTGGATGTTTGAAACAATTGGTCAGTGCTACAAATACCTAAAGTGTAATAGAGATACCTAACATAAACATTGTTAGCAGCTAAGGAACGTTCAAACCTGTGGACCTTGTGGATGAGTGAGATGCCCTGTGGAGATATTTGTGATTGTGTTCAGATAATGACTGGAAGCACCAAGAAAAATAATGTTCATAGTTGAGGCACGTGAAATATAATTAATCCCTTGTACGTGCCTAGCATATGGCCGCAGTGACTTAACATTGTGGTTAATCGATGTCATTTTGTTGCTAATAATCTGTAGGGCAGCTGATGAAATGGTTATATGGCAGGAGAAAGCTGTACCCATTACTCCACAGACAATAGGCTCAGCAATTAATTGGATAAGGAATCTTCGCCACATGCCAACTACTAGCAAGACAAGTTCGGTGGAGGCTGTGTTACAAGCGACGAGCGATAATACTGTAAGACTTGGTTCACTTACCATTTCAATTATATCAGTAGACACTATCAAATGACAATTTATTAAACATTTCACAGCATAAGTAGATGTTTGGTGAAATTCTAGAATTTAATTTAAGTCTTGGAAAAAGTCAATCTTATCACATATCTGAACTGTAAAAGAGTAAAAAAAAAGATTTATTTAGACTTTGGACATTTACTTCTGCTGCCAGCAATGATGGTAAATTGAAAAATAACCATGATTAACTTTATGATTAGGAAACAATGCTTGAACAAAATTGTACAGACATTATCGTTCTGGATAGATTGGAGTAGATTTAATGAATTACTGTTCTTGGTGAAATAACTCCACAGAGACTGGTATCCCATCACCAAGTCACCCTTTATTTACACATGGAACATGCTTGACACTGATCCAGCTCCCTCATGAGCCAGTTCTCAGAGCGAACGGAACCTCTGACACTCCTGTTTACATCTATCAGCCAGGGCTCCCAGATTGGACCAGATTAACAGCCCCAATCAGGGAACTCATATTCTATGAGGTCCACCTGGCTGACCTTGTTACAATCATTGCACTTGGCACACAGCTTCGCATACTGGGAACTTTTTTGGAATTAAGACATAAAGTTAGCAGGCTCTAAGTTTTAGAATTTTCTGTCATTAATTTGTTGATATGTATTTCTGTATTGTGATGTTCTGTACCTATGTAATTGGGGTAATTTTAATCAGATTAGTAATTTTTATTCAAGGTCAGTAAATAATTGATAAAAATGCACAATGGAACAATGAAATAACCACTTTTCTTCGGTTAGAAGCATTTTATCCTGATTCATGATAGAATTAGAAGTGAATTGTGAGGGCGACTTCCCCTGCAATCACTTAGTAACACTATTGTTTCCCTGTGTTTATTCTAAGAATTCTATGTAATACTTCTATTTTTCTTTCTGAAGATTGAAGCAGTTTACTTTTTCACTGCTGGTGATGGTCCTGAGGTGATGAGAGAGCTTTTGCGTCGGAAATTGGCCAAAAGCCCATGCCCAGTCCACATGGTATCATTCAATGCCAAGGAGGAAGGCACAATTCAATTCCTGAAAGAATTGGCTCATTTTACTGCGGGAAGGTATAACATAAATAACATTTGAGACAATGGGTAAATCCTACATGACACTTCCTGGTTTTTAGGAAGCCTCATTTTTGATTTATTTTTATATGTTAAATGTCATATACTGATAACCTATATGTAGAATAATATTGAATGCTCTGTAGAAGAATCTGTAGCTCCAGAATTCAGCTTTTAACACATTCAATGTCCTACCTGAAGTAAAGTCTCTTGGTGACAGAGAATTCATGTCCTTTCATTTAGAATCTACCCTTATTTACACATGCCCATGGATTTTCAGTGTTACAGGTTAAACTGTGGAAAAAACTGCCATGTCCTTTCTTAGATGAAACCTAATGTGGATAAATGTGGTTTATAGAAATTATACGTGCAGATATAGTTCTTAGGACTAAAGAGATTAAAAGATTTAAAGGGAAAGCAGGAACAGGGGACTAATTTGGATGATTAGCCGTGATCATATTGAATGGTGGAGCAGGCTTGATGGACTAAGTGACCTACTCCTGCTCCTAGTTTCTCGGTTTCTATGTTTCTTACTCCTTCGATTTTCCCCTTATTGGTGTCCTTGACATTTCCTCTTGACATGCTTGTACATTCTAGTGTATGAACATTTACAAATTGATTGTTAGTGTAGCTTTGTGATTTGCTGATTGAGGAACAAACATAACATTCAGAAGAGGACTAGTAAAGACGTTCACAAAAGTGATCCTGGGTACGAAGGGCTTGTCAAATGAGGAGTGTTTGAGGACTCTGGGTCTGTACTGTATGGTGTTTAGAAGGGTGAAGGAGGATTGATTGAAACTTACAGTCGATGTGGAGAAATGTTTCCACAACTAGGAAAGACTAGGACCCAAGGGCACATTGAAGGGATAACCATTTAGAATGAAGATGAGGAGGAAATTCTTAAGCCACAAGGTGATGAAGCTGTGGAACTCATTGCCACAAAAGGCTGTGAAGGCCAAGTCATTGTGTGTATTTAAGACAGAGACAGATACTTGATTAGTGAGGGGATCAGAGGTTACAGGGAGAAGGCAGGAGAATGGGGTTGAGAAACATTCCAGTTGCTTCTGCTGCTATACCTTATGATTTTAGGGTGTTCCCCGTATATCTGCCACATAATTAACTGAATCACAACGTGCTATATGCACCTAAATGCAGAAGGCATGTCCAAGTATCAGGTTTGTATTCTGGTTTTCTGTTTTTGAAATGAAAGGCTTGCTGAAAGTTTGAGGGTCATGGTACATTACAATACCAGGCAATTAATCTCTTAGCTGAATGTGTTGCCTACTGAACAAAATAGCTATGATCTAACTAGTGCCATCTAATTAAACAAAATTGCTGGTATATATTTAAATTGAAGCCAATTTGAAATATGATAGAGTGACAAATGACACTTAAGTTGACTGGTAATGCCATGATACTATCTGCTTTAGGGCTGATATATCTGAGTAATTATCTTGATGTGAAATCTGTAGATTTTGCCTTTGGTCAAGAGTTTAGGAGGTATTAATTTGGATATAATCCCATCATGTGTCTGTTTTAAAATGTGAAACAGTACTTGTGTCATTCTTGTGAGCTCTTCTTTTATTCAGCAGATGAAAAATTGTAACTTTTGTGGGAAGGAAAAAGCTCATAAGGCCAATGGTCAATGCCTTTAACAGTCATGTTACCATTTTGAAAATATTTCTGTCATTTGAACAAGAAAACAACTACTTATCAAAAGCAGATTGGTTATAACCAATAGATAAAAAGAAACACAAATTACTAACTTATACCTACCTATAAATTAAGCTACATTTTAAAAAAGAATTCTCAAACACTGACCAGCAGACACACAAAGAGACAAGACAAGACACAAATATTACAGATGGGGAGAGAACAATCAGTGAAGCACAGTTCTGGCACCAGTGTGGATTACCAGATGTTGATGAAATGTTCTTAAGCTGCCTTCTGATTCCTTTTAACTCTGAGTAGAACAGACACTCTGATTCTCAATCTTTTACTCACTGCTTGAAGATTCACCCTTTTGGAATCTCTGAAGGTGTTTTCTTTCTTTTTTTCATTCAAGCATGAAATTTGCAAAGAGAGAGAATAGCCAGCTGCTTGGAATGTTATTTTACTTCTCCATTCAAAAGAGGGAGAGAGAGCGCACAAGATATTTTCTCCTTCATAGTTTGTATTGTCTACATGCAAAGCTGCAGCCACTCATCCAGGAACCTGTCAAGAAGTTGTTGCTATGCTGCATACTCCTGAACACATGCAACAGGTCGTGGTTAAAAGAAACTAATCAAAAGTGTCACAGGACAATGCTGCCTCAGGATACATGCTGATGGATCTGAGGTGTCTAACATCGTCCCCTTCTGCTTGAATGAGGCTACCCTGGAGTGCAACAAGCAATGAGTTCCAGTACCACATTGTTTCTTTAAAAAAAACTGCAACATCTTCTTTCACAGTCCCTTGGTGTAAAGCAGTAGTTTTTCCATTTTTAATTCCATAGTCCAAAAAAAATAACAAAATGGCCTTTGCAAACCTAGCGCACGTCAGGTTATTTCACACTTGCAAATTACAATATTGGGACACCCAGTTTGTTTGATAAAGAAGAATCTTTTGGTTTCGCTTGCTCTTTCTTCAGAGAAGGAACGTGGAAAATTGTTTTCAACAATTCATTGAAATAGATGAATAATTTTGTTACAACAACACATATGATAACTCACCACCAGCTCATCCCGTATAAAACTCCTCACTATCACAGCAATAACTCTTCAACTACAGGTCAGAAAATGACTTCCATATATACCAGTGGCCACATGGCTATTCTGCAAATTATAGACAGTTGGGATAACAAAATTCAATATTGTTGAGCCCATTTTCCAGGTATGAAATAGGCTTAATAATAGCCAAGAGGTGGTACGAACTGCTGATGCTGGAGTCTGAGATAACAAGGTGTAGGGCTGGATGAACACAGCAGGCCAGGCATCATCAGGGAGCAGGAAAGCTGACGTTTCGGGTCTGGACCCTTCTTCAGAAATGGGGGAGAGGAAGGGGGCTCTGAAATAAATAGAGAGAGGGTGAGGCGATGATAGAAGGTGGATAGAGGAGCAGATAGGTGGAAAGAAGACGGACAGGTCATGGAGCTGGGGATGAAGCCAGTACAGGTGAGTTTAGGTAAGGAGTTGGGATGGGGGTTGGTCAGTGGGGAGGAAGGAGCAGGTAGGTGGGAGGGTAGCAGATAGGTGGGAGAAAAGACGGACAGGTCAAGGAGGCAGGGACGAGAGGGGCTGGTCTTGGGATGAGGCCGGGGGTGGGGAGATTTTGAAGCTTCTAAGGTCCACATTGAGACCATTGGGCTGCAGGGTTCTCAGGCGGAATATGAGGTGCTGTTCCTCCAGCCTTCGGGTGGCATCGTTGTGGCACTGGAGGAGGCCCAGGATGGACATGTCGTCCAAGGAGTGGGAGGGGGAGTTCAAGTGATTCGCAACTGGGAGGTGTTGTCGTTTGACACAAACCAAGCGTAGGTGCTCCACAAAATGGTCTCCAAGCCTCCGCTTGGTTTCCCCGATGTAGAGGTGGCCACATCAGGAACAGCGGATACAATATACCACGTATATATTGGACCTTTCTTGCCACTGCATCAGTTAAGAGCTGGGTGAGAAGATCCACTGGGGACTGTCTAAGTGGTTAATGAATGGCCACTTAAGGGCTTCAAATTGCCAACTCTCCAATTGCTTGCCTTCCCAAAGGCTGTAAAAGATAACTGGTTCCCTGACTGAGAAGCCAAAACAGTCTGTGTGTCAGCTTAGGGATAGGGACTCTGAATTGCCCCAATCTTACCTCTACCCATGAGAAGAAGATAAAAAAAATTACCTTCTTACTGCTGGATTCCCCAAGGAGTAGGCCTCACCGGATGGCCATTGGGGACCAGAAGTTGCCAGCCTTTGATTGGATGCTTCCAGTAACCAGGGATGTTAGTATTGAGTCCTGCAATAGGTAGAAAAACTCACCTAAGCTTGCTTGTCGACTCTGAATGAACTAACTGGCATGTGAGAGGTCAGGTATTCTAGCCAATGAGTTTGACCTGTTAGTTGCCACATAGCATGCCCGCGACTATTTACTTGATAAAAGGAAAAGTCGCAATTTTAAGTTTCAATCTCTAGCTTTAGGCAACCATCCTCTGCTACGATTTTTAATGGATTCTAACCAGGTGCCTCATATGGAACCGATGAGATGAAGGCTGGTGTGGTGCAGGGGTAATCTCCCTATCTCTGGGCTAGGAGGCCCTGGTTCAAGTCTCACTTGCTCCAGAGAGGTGTGTCTTAACATTTCTGAACAGGTTCATGAGAAAATATATAGAAACTAAGAGACATATACTTGCTTTGTGCAGAGAGTGTATTGACTATTCCAGTCCAGCAGCTTTCTCACCACCATCACCCCCCCCACCCCCAGCCCTAGATGATAGCCCTTTCTTATTTTGTCATATGTTTAAAATCAACCTATTCAGAGATGTTATTACACTCCGTTAGAGTAGGTTAGCCTTGAACTTAGGCCTTCTGTTATCTCTTTACATATAGTTTATTTAACCAACCTGTTCAGAGACCTGGAGCGGGTGAGAGTTAAACCCGGGTCTCCTGCCTCAGAGGTAGTGACACTACTACAGAACCACCAGCACCCGTAACCCCTCAGTTAGCAACCATCACCTATTTACTGACTAATCCTTCATTTCTGGTTAAATTAATGTTAATCCTTGATCTTTTAAATGTCAGATTACATGAGAAAGTTCCACAATGACTTAATAACTTGGGATGTTTATCTGTACAATTCATAAAATCCCAACAGTGCAGAAAGTGTCATCTGGCCCATTGAGTCTGCACCAACCCTCTGAACAGCATCCCATCTTATCCCCATAACCCCTGTATTTCCCATGGCTAATCCACCTAGCCTGTACATCCCTGGACACAATGGGAAATTTAGTACAGCCAATCCACCTTACCTACGCAACCTTTGGCTGTAAGAGGAAACTGGAGAAACAGGCAGAAACTCACACAGACACAAGGAGAATGTGCAGACTCCATAGAGTCAGTCGCTGACTGGAATCAAACCTGGGTCTCCGGCACTGCGAGGCAGCAGTGCTAACCACCGCGGCACTGTGCTGCCCCAGATTCATGAGGATTCCCACATGGCCCTGATATTCTTCTGATTTTATCAAGAGCAAATTAAAGCAATTTGTGAGGCATTTTCTTTAACTCACCAATTTCTCCTACTCTCCTGAACAATGCCTATGGAAATTGGCACCAGTTAAGATTAGGAAGAAGCAAGTGTAGGAACAGATGTTGGTACCTTGACCCCATTTTCCATCTTCAGGAAGGCTACTTTGACTGATTTCCTTCCTAAATCCCATTCAAGTGACTAATATTAAAATATAAGCAGTGACGGTTGTTGTTAACAGACAATTTAATGGAAGAAGATAACAAAGCCTTTTCCTGACAAATCCCAACAAATGCACACCTCTAATTCAAGAATCGTGAACTAGTAAATAAGGTTGGGAACAACTATTTTCATCTCCCTTACTGAAACGTACTGAGAATGCATCACATAAGCCCTCTTACCTCTATCAGTTAACTTAGAACTAACCAGACTGACCTTTATGTCTCAGCTACTTGGAAAACTTTATGGAGCTATTAGCAAATTTACTGGGAATGCAATTATTATCGAATTTGGTAATCAACATGAATGAAGAAAGCAGTCATTAATCATGTGGAATGAAAACAGAAACTCAGCAGATCTGGAAGCTTCTGTGAACAGGGAAACAGAGTTAACATCTTGAGTTTGATATTTGACTCATATTGGACTCTTTTCACAGAGTTTCGTCAGTACCTTCTGTTTGTATTTCAGATCTCCAGCATCTACACTACTTTGCTTTTACTCTAAATACATCAACATGTTCAGCTGAATGCTTATGCGTTGCAATGACTCTGAGTCATCAATGAGATAGGCTTTGAGTCAGATTATTCGAATCATTTAATTCACACCCCAAGTGGCTCTATTTCTAGTTTATTGCTTGGTCAGCCACTTTTGAAAACTATTTAAGAAGGTTCTCAAGTGCTTAATGTTGTGGTCCTAGTTTCAGCCTGTGCCTATTGTTTGTTAATTGTCATGTGACTGTATCCTGGCAGATTTCATGCATTTGCTCTGATGAGTGAATGTGAAGAAGATGAAACAGTTTCCCCCAATGACGTGAAAGACAGAGGCGCTGAGGCTCCAAAGACCCCAAGGAAACTGATTGGAGGTTTGCCACCAGGTCAGTACATCTGAAGACAGGAATGATATCAGCTGCAGGTTTATTCATTTGTTCTTGAATGTCAGGGAAAAGATTGCCGTAAGTATACATTAGGGGAACCTGATTTCCATTTAATTGATAGTTTTTACTTGGCAAAGTGAGGAAAATACATTCAGTGTGGAGCTGGTGGAACACAGCAGGCCAGGCAGCATCAGAGGAGCAGGAAAGTTGACGTTTTGGGTCAGGACCCTTCTTCAGAAAATACATTTAGTGTTGCTTGCCTTCTAAGTGTGACATTTTACACTTTTAGAGAACCAAAACCAACTGTGATTGGCCTGTGGCCATTGCATGCAACACAGGTAGCATGTCAGTTTCACTCTCCAGCCAGTGCTAAGTATGCTGCTAATCTCTGGATATTTGAGCAGGGTCCCAGGACGGGTAGGAGCTAGTTAAAGCTTCGTTCAGCAATCCATTTCTCCAGGCTAATGTTCTGGGGACTTAGGTTCAAATCCTGATGTAGCGATTAGAATGAGGTTGGCCAGGTGTATCCCGTTGAGTACGGGGTTCCCTGATTGGGGCTGTTAACCTGGGCCAGTCAGGGAGCCCTGGCTGACAGATATAAACAGAAGTGTCAGGGAGTCACCTCACTCTAAGGACTGGCTCTGAGCTAGCTGATCAGAGTCCATGTACTGTGCACATGCAAATAAAGGGTGACTTAGTGACTGGATACCAGCCTCTGTGCAGTTATTCCACCCACAATGGCAGATTTGAATTCAAAAAAATCTGGAATAGAACCGTTGTTTGTGGTCGACGTGGCTGACTACTGCAAAAACCCATCTGTTTCACTCATGTCCTTCAGGAAATCTGTCCTAATCACCTGCTGCAGCCTACATGGACTCCCCTCAGGCAGTTAGGGATGGGCAATAAATACTGGCCTAGTCAGTGACACCTATATCCCATGGATGAATAAAAAAGAAAAAACAGAAGCACTGCTCAAATCATCACTCCAGTCACTGATCAACAATGCCCTTCATTCGTACCTGGTATTCATATGCTTCACTACAGCTTAGAGTCCTTAGTTCAAGTCTCACATACCAACGACTTACAACTTGCACACAATACCAGCTACTCAGCCATAACAGCCATACCATCCTAGGAATTTGCACCACACTCACTGACACACTCCTGTCACTCTTTTGAGACAAGTTGGCACATAACCTGAGGCAGCAGGAATGGGGGTTAGAGGACAAAGTGCAGGCCATTATTGGGATGGTCATTGTTGAGGTTGTGGCCCTTTGTGAGAAGGATCTTCTGAACTCATCCTCTATCTCACATTCTCACCTCCCCTTCATCACCCACCCTCATGCATAAGCTGAAGGTGGTCTAACCATGAGCCTCTATTTTATACATCCCACACACCCTCAGCCTCCCACACCTTCCTCCCTCCCTGGACAACATGGTGCATTTTACCCAAGAAGTGAACTTGGCCAAGCAGTGAAGCAACAGTAAGAAGACTGTGATGATAAAGAGAAAAAGCATCACTTGATTTTACCTGTGATTGCACACAGTGAAATATTGGACATGAGTGGAAGTCCAGATTGAAGAGAGTAAAGTCATATTTGAGTTCCCCTGCACGGTACTTAGCTTTGAAAGGACAGCATGTAGGAAAACATTGCTGGGCATTTTTTAAATTCATTCAAGGAATGAGAGCATCACTGGCTAGACTATCATTTATTGCTCCTCCCTAATTTGCCCAAAGAGCAGTTAAGAGTCAACCACATTACTGCAGGTCTGGAGTCACATGTGTGTGAGACCAGTTAAGGATGGAACTTTCTTTCCCTAAAGGGCGTTAGTGAACCTGAGGGCTTTTTCCCCTGACAATCGACAATGGTAATCAGTAGACTCTTAATTCCAGATTTTTATTGAATTCAAATTCCACTATCTGGAATTTGAACTATCTGGTAGAATTTGAACCCAGGTCCCCAGAGCATTACCTAGGTCTCTAGATTAACAGCACAGTGAAGATACCACAAGGCCATCGTCTCCCTTGCTACGCAGAACAAAATGATTGGTGCATTGGCAGCCAGCCAGATAGTCTATGATAAGTGACGAGAAACATATAGGTGTCTGTCAATAACTTCGCACAGGCCTTTGCATGGAGCTTGGACTCCATTGTTTTCAGCACAGAGAATATCCAGAGTGGTCAGCTTTGTTTGCACTGTTGTGGAACCAATTATGATTTGATGATAGACATTGGAGCTGCTTTGTATAAGCAGGAGTTGGTTCATGTCTGAGTGTGGCTGTGGAAACCAGAAACTGCAGTCTTGTAAGATCCACTTATTGCCATAGAAGTTCAGACTCCTGCCTTCCTAGCTGTGGACTACAGTTGCAAAGTGATTTACAACCATAAGATGTAGGAGCAAAAATTAGCCATCCAGTCCATTTAGTCAGCTCTTCCATTCAGTTCATCTGATAATCCTCAGTTATACAGGATGTCACAACATTTAAGCAATTCATCCTTCAACAGATTGACAAATGCTGCTTCTGGGGACTGGCAGCAGTTCTCTGGAGCACGAATGTACTGCCCTTTCTCAGAAAATGATTGGGAGAATAAGTCCCTGAAAACACTGGATAGATATAGCTTCCTGCTGGGAACCTTTCTCTACTTTTTCCTCCCTCTTCCAACAGAATGTCCTGCACTGTACAGCCTTATATATTCTCCAAGTTATATTATGTTCTGAGGGAATGGCTTCCAGTGCATCTATGCCTGGGGAGAACTGTGTCAATGGATTGCAAAGCAACCCTCTGCAGGAACTGCAAACAGGAGGGCCACCTGATTAACGACTGCATGGAGCCCAAGAGCTGCAATCTGTGAGGGGAAACAGGCCACCTGTACAAGGCCTGCCCAAGATGGGCAGGGGGGTTTTGTGGTGTGCACCTTGAGCCAGCAAGGTGGCTCAGTGGATAGCACTGCTGCCTCACAGCGCCAGGGACACGGGTTCAGTTCTACCCTCGGGTCTGTGTGGAGTTTATACATTGTCCCTGTGTCTGCGTGGGTTTCCTCTGGGTGCTCTGGTTTCCTCCCACAGTCCAAAGGTGTAAGGTTAGATGGATTGGTCAAGCTAAATTGTCCATAGCGTCAGGGATAGGCAAGTTAGGTGGATTAGCCATAGGAAAATGCAGGGTTACTGGGATAAGATAGGGGCGTGGGTTTGGGTGGGATGCTCTTCGGACAGTTGATGTGGACTTGTTGGGCCGAATGGCCTGCTTCCACACTGTAGGGATTCTATGATAATAGACTCCAACATTTTCCCAATAACAGACGGGCCTATAGTACCTGACTTTTGTCTCCCGTTCTCAAACAAAGATGTTGATGCTGCATTAACTTCACAAACTCAACCTGTGCTTCCAATAGTTTGTTTAATGATGCAGTGTCTATAGGGAGTAGTGCAGCAGGTGCTTGAGTACTTGTTGCTATTACTTAGAGTCATAGAGTCATTGAGTCAGTCAGCATGGACCCTTTGGTCCAATTAGTCCATGCCAACCAAGTTTTCCACACAAAAATAGTCCACTTGCCTGCATTTGGCCCATATTCATCTGACCTTTTCCTATTCATGTACTTATCCAAATGTCTTTTAAATGTTGTAACTATACCTGCATCTACCACTTCCTCTGGCAGTGCATTCCACATGCGAACCACCCTCAGTATGAAAGTGTTGCCCCTCAGGTACCTTTTACATCTTTCTCCTCTCACCTTAAATAAAAACCCCCTAGTTTTGAACTCCCCCATCCTAGGGAAAAGACCCTTGCTACACACTTTATCTATGCCCCTCATGATTTTATAAACCTCTGTAAGATCACCCATCAACCTCCTGTGCTCCAGTGAAAAATGTCCTAGTCTATCCAATCCATTTTTATAACTTAAACCCTCCATTATTAGCAACATCCTGGAGAATCTTTTCTGAACTATCTCCAATTTAATGACATCCTTCCTATAGCAGGGTGACCAGAACTGTATACAGTACTCCAGAAGAGGCCACACCAGTGTTCTGTACAACCTCAACATGAAGTCCCAACTCCTATACCGAAAGGTCAGAGCTATGAAGGTGAGCATGCTAAACACCTTCTTAACCACTCTGTCTACCTGTGATGCAAATTTCAAAAAATTACATCCCTCAACCCCTAGGTCTGTCTTTCCTACAACACGACCCAGGGCCCTACCATTAATTGTATATGTCCTGCCCTCATTTGTTTTATCAAAATGCAATACCTCACATTTATCCAGATTAAACTTTATCTGCCACTCCTCAGACCATTGACCCAAATGATCAAGATCTGTTTTTAATCTTAGATTACCTTCTTCACTGTCCACTATACCACCAATTTTGTCATCTGCAAACTTACTAACCATGCCCTCTATATTCTCATTCAGTTTGTTTATATAAATGTGCTGTGTTGCCAATCACTGTGCCTTTCGATCCAGTCAAGGAAAGGGGAGGTGGAAGAAAACTATCCCAACCATAAGCTGGTATTGTTTGGCATCACAGCACATATAATAGCAACAAGTACTAAAGCACCTGCCACATCACTCCCTAAAGACACTGCATCTTTTAAACAAACAATAGAAAACACCAAACAGTTGTGGAATTGCAGCAACAACTGGAAGAAATGAAACAGTATCTCACCTGCAAGAAGTTGATCGTCCAATTAAATAGAGGCAGTGAGTATTGGGGCAGAGATCCTTTTTTCCGTTGAACACATGTTCAGTTTGTGATTTAATGCAATGCCCATTTCTAAGAATTAATAAAACAAAAGTGTTCATACAATCCATTTTGAAGGTCTGAGTGCATGTTTACTGCCCAAACAAGAGTTGCTAGTAAATCCAAGTTCACTTCTCTGGTGCCTTATTCATCTTCCTGCTTTATACATTTATGATTTAGTTTCCAAACCCTTTATTTATTAAATGCATATGCATCAGATGGATTTTACTCTTATGACTTACATGGAGATGCAGGTGGAAA